ATAATTCTTTGATTTATTATCAATCATTTTGCCTTCGAACTTGATTTTATTTTAGAATTTAGGAATTGTACACCAAGTTCTAAAGACACATTTAACAATAATAACTAATATTTTTAATAGTACTTTAAGGTTTACAAAGTGTTCTCATTTGGCAATGATAGACTGGATAAAGAAAATGTGGCACATAAACACCGTGGACTACTATACAGCCATAAGAAGAATGAGTTCATATCCTTTCCAGGGACATGGATGAAGTCGGAAACCATCATTCTCAGCAAACTAACACAGGAACAGAAAACCAAATACCACATGTTCTTACTTATAAGTGGGAGTTGAACAAGGAGAACACATGGACACAGGGAGGGGAACATCACACACCAGGGCCTGTCAGTGGCTGGGGTCTAGGGGAGGGAGAGCATTAGAAGAAATATCTAATGTAGATGACAGGTTGATGGGTGCAGCAAACCACCATGGCACATGTACATGTATATAACAAACCTGCCCGTTCTGCATATGTATCCCAGAACTTAAAGTGTTAAAAAAAAAAAGTGGTCTCATTCATTATCTTCTTCCATCTGAGATGTGTCAGGGTATGATGAAGAGACAATGGACTTCGGAGTCAGAAAAATGTTTCCAATCCCAGCACTGACACTGTCAAAGTGGCCTCAACTCTTTGAACCTTATTTTGCCATCTGCCAAACAGATGTATGCATACTGTTCTCATGGCCCTAGAACCTAACAGATGATGAATAAATGCAGCTGCTGCTGTTATTGTTACATTTGCTATCGTCACTGATTTATCCAGTATCACCGAAGAGATGGAATGAGCAAGTATCACCTCCCTTGAGGCAAGAAAGGGAAAATATGTGAACAAATACGCTTAGAGGCTGCCTGAGTGTTTGTCTCCATAGGAGCAGCAGCAGGAGGTGTCTGGAAACAAAACGCAAAGCCAAACACAAGTTTAGTTGCCGATATTGGCTCTCCAAAATTCCCTTCTGGGTTTCTTCATTTGGATTAGAACATTAGACCTCAAACCTACTTGATCATCAAAATCACCAGTAGAAATTGAAACAAAACAAAACAAAACAGAAATAGAGGATTCAGAGTTACTTATTTAATAAATGAATAAATGAGAAAAAAAAAAAAAGAAATACAGGATTCTGGCCCTAACCCATAGATACTGTACTTTGGTTCACACGGGCTGAGACTCCAAAATCTCTCTCTCTCTCTCTCTCTCTCTCTCTCTCTGCGTGCGTGCGTGCATGTGTGTGTGTGTGTGTGTGTGTGTGTGTGTGTGTGTGTGTATTCCCTAGGTGTGCATAATCCTCAGGTTTGGGGACCACTGAAATAGATGATTTCCGAGGGCAAGCCAAGAGTCTGCTAAATTACAATGGTGTTTTTGAGCCTGTTTTGAATAATTGAGTATTTTCAAGGAGAAGGCATTTTCTTCTCTATTTGAGGTTCCCCATCCATACCAGTCTCTAGAGAGAGGTGATGCTCAGGCTAAGGGTGATTCTGAAACTCTTTTTAGAAGCTATTGGGGAACATAAAAGGTAGGTAAGGGAAAGAGATCCTTAGAGGCTGGGTGCCCACATTAAAAGCTGCAGGAATGCTAAGACTGAAACTTACTAAGGTCACAGGAGCCTTTCCTCTTAGTTCTTCATGCTTTTGACTCGGCTCCTTGTAAAATCTGAGCAGAACTGCCTTGGTTTCAATGGGGAGTGATGACATCCTTGAATCACCATGTGCTTTCTAGGCAGGCATTTGTGCTTCAGCTGTGACTGAAAAGAGCACAGGGAGTAGGGAGTAGGCTCAGGTCCAGGTGTGACTCTCAGGCAGGCATTGATATTTTGTGGGATCAGATCCTGGGATGCAACAAAGCAATGAAGTGGGAGATACGGATTTGTTACTGACCTCACCCATCCAAAAGGCAGCTACCATCCAGGAAATCCTGTTTATATCTATGGAAGGAGAGTAGACTGGCATGGCAAAGAGGACCCTGGAGGCAGTGAATCCTCTGGAGGATACATACATTGCTGCATTGCTTTTCAGGAAAAAGAATGTACTCTAAGGCAGACCTTGTAAATATTGTACAGCCTCTGTCCTCGCAAATATTCCCAATGGACAACATGATGTGTCCAGAGTTAGAATCACATAAATTAAGATTAACCATTCTTCCAGGAAGCTTGTTTTCATCACAGAACCATTTGAGGATCAGAAAGTAAACAGGAAATTTGAGGCAATGCCATACTATCACAACAGAGTTTCTGCATTACTTATAAAAGTCACTTTATTCTATTTGCTAAGTACATTTTTATAAAGAGGAAATATACCTTAACATGCATTCTTAATTTAAGAAAATCTGCACAGACCTTTTTAATAGGCTGAGTTAATTGTGGAAGCTGAATGATGCCAGGATGAAATAATTCTTAACAAGGTTGATGGGTAAAACCAACCACCTAAGACAAACAGTTTACAAAACTAGGGGACAAATGTTATAGATTTCTGAAATAAGCATTCAACAATTAGAATTTCCCAGGATAAACTTACTCTATTTTAGTATTTCACAGCAAGAGTTCTTGGAATATATAAATCTTGCAATATTATGGGAAAATTTTGTGCCCTTTTAACACAGAATTTTAACTTTATGGCATAGTATACTTTATCTTTTCAGATAGAACGTATATTTTAAAGTAATCATTTTATAAGTATTCACTAATCTTTTTCTTATTTAACTGACAAGATAAAATATTCTCATTGGTCAGGCACAGCAGCTCATGACTGTAATCTCAGCACTTTGGGAGGCTGAGGCAGGCAGATCACTTGAGCCCAGGAGTTCAAAACAAGACTAGGCAACATGGTGAAATTCCGTCGGTACAAAAAGCACAGAAATTAGCTAGGTGTGGTAACATGAGTTTGTGGACCCAGCTCCTCAGGAGGCTGAGGCTGGAGGATCACTTGGGCCCAGGAGGTGGAGGTCAAGGTGAGCCAAGATCGTGCCACTACACTACAGCCTGGGCAACCGAGAGACCCTGTCTGAAAAAAAGAAAAACATTCTCAATGTGTTTGTGTAAAACATTCTTATTCTTTGAAGGTTCTTTATTAAGCATTAACTGTGTCCATGACTTTAGTTATATATTCTAGCCAAGATTTGGTCAAAGTTCTGTCAGTGACAGAGAGGTGAATTTGTGACTTGATTCAGAGAATTTCAGGTTTAACAAGAATTGATTGGTCACATATTTGTAATGTGGTGAGCTCTATGCCAAATGGAGTAAGTAAGGCTAAAAGAAGCAAAATAAACGTGAAAGAAACAGTTCCTGCTCTTGGGAAGCTTAAAACTAATGGCCCAGACAGGATGTGATATAGAAAACTATGAAAGAACAATTCCCGAAGTGTGTGTGTGTGTGTGTGTGTGTGTGTGTGTGTGGTGTATGTATATGTATGTGTGTCTCACACACATATATATTTAGTGTGTATAAATAGTATGTAATGTTTGTGTAGACTATGTATATATATACTAGACTATATAGACTAGACTATACATATTTGAGACTAGACTATTTATATATATATAGTAGTCTATATAGACTACGATAGCCAAGGTGGATCTGTTCCCCAGCACACACCTATGTCAGGCAGGATAGAAAACATATATAGCATACTATATGTAGAGACTACTATATATGTAGGATATAGTATTATATATATATGGTCTAGACTATATATTATTACATATATATCTATGTATACCTAGTTTATATATATAGCATACTATATATAGGCTACTATATATAGTATCTGTAGTATAGTAGAATATGTAGTATATATAGTATAGTATATATATATAATATACATAAAGTCTATATATTTAGTCTCTCTATAGTATATATATAGTCTGTATATCTGTATATATATATATATATGTCTGAACTATACAGATAGCATAGTACATACAATTATATATAGTATATATAGTATACTAGTATATGTATAGTATATATAGTACAGTATATACATAGTATATATGGCCTATATATAGTGGTCTACTACTATATATAGTCTATATAAAGAGTAGTCTATATAGACTACTATATGGCAGTTTATATATATATAGTAGTCTATATATATAGTATGCCATATATGGTCTAGTCTATATATATATATACATAGTCTATATATAGTATATTAGTATATATAGTATAGTATGTAAATAGTATATATAGTCTATATAGAATAGTCTATAGACTCTATATAGTAGTCTATATAGTACATACATAGCCTATATACAGTAGTCTTTATGGACTACTAGTATTAATATACTATATATATATATATATATATATATATATATATATATATAAAATCTAGCCTGCCTGATGTAGGTGTGTGTTGGGGAACAGATACACCTTGAATACCAGCCAGTTAACCACCTGGAGACAATTTGGATAAACAATGAAGAGCTGAAAATCTCTTTTGTTTTACTTTCCAATTTGCCAAACTTCTATGGAGTACCTATTGTTTCTTAACACAGGAGATACAGAGGAAGAACAAAGAATATACGCTTTTTACATAGGCTAAGGGCAAAGGGAATTAACTGTGTGAATTTTCCTAGATGTCTTCAAGTCATGCATGGTTCAGCTCTTAGAATATGCATCTATTGACTGAAAGTTGCTGGAAACACTGACTCACTCACTCCTATGAGTCCTGACTGTGACATATTTTCCCTGAACCATTTCCAGACCCTCCCTGCTATTCTCTCTGCTTCCACTCTTGCCTCATTACAGTCCATAATTCACACAGCAGTCCTTGGCCTTGGACACCAAGGTGGTGAGTAGACAAACTCTTCTTTTTCTCTGAAAGGTTTCATTAGAAATTCCTAAGGGTTGTTGGACCAACTATTCACATGTACCTGTCATTACCTTTAACTGCTGAAACATCCACATGATCTTGCTCCATTTCCCATGGTAAGTTCTCACAGTCTTCATGTGCTTTCATTGTAGTTGCCACAAAAAGTCCTGCAGCTGAAGAATACACTGTTAATATTGAGATCAGTTTTGAAAATGCATCCTTCCTGGATCCTGTCAAAGCCTACTTGAACAGCCTCAGTTTTCCAATCCAAGGGAATAACACTGACCAAATTGCCGACATTGTGAGCATAAATGTAACAACAGGTGAGTGAGAGACCCATTGTTTCAGAATAAATGATTGGATGTCATGAGAAAGACTGAGCTCCTGACTATCAGAGCAATCTTTTACTCAGTAGGCAAGTGAAATGACTCACCAGGACTGATGTGTGAGCCTATGACTTCAAAGCCTTCCTGAATGAATCCTCTATGAGTAAACTCTGCAGCCAGAGGTTTCTTATGTTAAGGGGTGACCAAGGGTTTGCTTGGTAGTTTGTATGATGCTTGTCATAAAATGGTCCCAAGATATGGCCAGGTCCTTTGTGATAAACTACTGGGTCCTCTTCCCTTGGGCAGATAAGCTACTGGGTCCTCTTCCCTGAATCCTCTTCCCTTGCTATTTCAATGGAATATATTCCATTGATGTAGAACCTATAATGCCAAAGAGAAGGGCATTTGGTACTTACTAATATCTTGAATATATATTAGTAATATCTTGAATATTAGTAAGTACCAAATGCCCTTCTCTTTGGCATTATAGGTCAGGAAATAGGAAACAAGTATGTGCCTGCATCAGAAGTAAGGTGTTAAGCAGAACCTCTCAGGCCATAGATTGGATTTTCTGGTTGCTAACTCTTTTCCCAGGTCATGCTAGCTTCCCTATGTCTCCAGAGACCATCATCCAAGATTTGGTATACAGAAGATGCTGTGAGAGAGGGCTTCCACTTGTCTGATAAAAGGGTATTGCTTTTTAAATTGGAAAGATGTTGGGTTTTATTATTCTACAATGAGGTTGAGAAAAATAGATGTTGGGTTTCATTATTCTAAAATGAGGGCAAGAAAAAAAATCTTGTTTTTGAAATTCTTCTTGAATTTGCATATTTCAAATAGTTCATCCCAATGTCAGTACATGCATTTTAATTTTTGATTCTTAATGTATGCTACTTGAAGTCATAGCTCTCTTATCACTCCTTTTGGATGCTATTTCCCACTGAATTCTACCATTAGCACTAATTTCCTTGTATTAGTGGTTTTCCACTAGCTGAGGGTGATTCTCAGTCAGCAATGTGCAGTTATAAGTCCTTCAGGAGCAGTGAGCTTCTGTTGTGTTTCCCACTCTTTATCCATAGAACATCTCACAAAACTAGGGTACTTTGGAACATACATAGGAATCACCATTCTATGTTTCCACCCAGCACAGATCTGTTACCTCTAGAATAAATTACTGGATAGATTTTTAGTCAATTTTGCTTCCCAATTTTTTAATGGAAACCTTTTGGTGTCTTTGTAGGTGCTAGTAAGAGAATCCAGTAAACGCAACAGACCAACAAGTATAAAAAATAGTTTATTGTTGAACAACTTGTAATTATAGACACCTGAGCTTTAGTTGTGAGTTTACCTTACATACTTTCAATATAAACATATTAACAAACTTTCTCTGATTTTTTTCTGCTAGAGGTGGGATGTCTTCAAGAGGCATCACTGTTTAACCATCTGAAAAACTTGGGTTAACAAGCTTCTCAATTAGAATGCATTTGACCTTGGAAAGTTTAACTTATCCTTCCAGAAAGACTGGTCATTCACACATGGAGGGGGTGAATCCTTTCTGATTGTGAACTATGAAACAGGTTTGACAAAAGTGGATGCATCAACATGGCAGAGAGAGCCTGAGGCTTGTGGACCTCAGGACCTGCAGGGAACAGCTAAGGGGAATTGTCCTCAAAGAGGAAGGGAATGAGATGGGTGGGCAATGAAGGTTAGGCCTACTGACCATGGCACTAATGTCGAAGCATCCAAACTTTCACCATCCTCCTCTTTCCATCCTTCCCTCGCCTCATTCTTCCAACAGCTTACCTTATGATCCTTTGTCAGTAATGACAAATAAAAAACTGAGGATATTTAGAATTGGACAATGTACGTAAAGCACCAATCAATATCTGAGATATGGCAGGTGGTCTGGAGGTGGTAACTTTTTCCATTCTTCTACGGCATGTTTGCATTTTATGTGGGACTCGAAAGTTCTTCAACTACTCCTCCCATAATCCTCGCTCACAAAACAGAAGACAACAACAAAATTGCTTTAACGCTGGAATTTCATGTCAGTAAGAGAGAGATTTCAACAAGTGGGATCCTGTTGGCTATCCTCATATTGCCTCCAGTGGACACTTAGCTTTTTTGTTAGCAGCTCCAGTTTCTTCTCTTCCTAATTCTCCTGCCCAAGTGCCACCCACTTCTGGGACACGGGCTGCATTAGTGCCCAAGGAATTAACTGGAACGTGTTGTCCCTCCTATTTCAGAAACAACTATTTGATGACTTCCCTTTGGGTAGTCACTCCATGGGACTTTGCCTGGACACCCATCTGCAGAACAAACAACTCTCAAAGATGTGACTTTGGTCCAGCTTTGGAAATTGATTCAAAACACTCTTATTTCAGAGCTCCAGTGAGAACAGAGTTCATGTAGGCTGTTCACATCTGACTTGATATGCAGAAAGCACAAATTTACTTGCACTCTATATTTGTTATCTATTGATGCATAACAAAGTCTAAAACCTAGCATCATAAAGTAGCATTTATTATCTGAGAGTTTTAAAAATCATTGTATTTATATTTGTTAAGAATTAAGATGTAGAAGGTGGAAGTACTGATGAGTATTGGTACTAACAGTAATATAAAAATAAACTTCCATATATATATAAATTTATTTACCCTATAGACTATATATACAATAGTCTACAAATAGAGGTATGCGTTACATACATCCTGCTGCATTTAACATATAGAAAGAAAGCATTGGTCCTTGTTGCTCACTCCTGGGAGATGAAAATGCACTAAAGCCATGAAAATCACTCATTGCCAGGCCAAGTTTGACCCTTCCTTTTATACAATATATAGGCGCAGAGATGAACCAGCCCCAATCCAAAGGCTCTCACCTAAATTTGAGAATGCTTATTCCTTCTCGCTGGAGTTTCCATCAAGACAGGACCTCTTGTTTGCCTCCACAAGAGTGTGATATAAAAGGACACTTTTTTCTTTTTGTCTTTGTGTCCTAAGTGGGGTTTTTATGGTAATGGAAAAAAAAAAAGTTTAGTTCTCTTATTAGAAGATAGACTGCTTCAGAGTTTTTGAGGGTCAGAAATCTTAGAGCAGCTTAGCTGGGTGGTTCTGGCTCAAGGTCTCTCCTAAGGTTGTAAGTAATCTATCAACCATTGCTGTTGTTGTATGAAAGCTCAACTGGGGCCAGAAATCCATTTCTTTTTCTTTTTTTTTTTTCTTTTTTTGAGACAGGTCTCACTTTGTTGCCCAGGCTGGAGGTAGTGGTTGCAATCTCAACTCACTGCAACCTCAACCTCCCAGGCTCAAGCAATCCTCCCACCTCAGCCTCTTGAGCTGCTGGCACTATAGGTACACACCACCACTCCCAGCTAATATTTTTGTATTTTTTTGTAGAGATGGGGTTTTGCTGTTTCCCAGGCTGGTCTAAAACTCCTGGGCTCAAGTGATCCACCTACCTCAGCCTCCCAAGTGCTGGTATTACAGGAGTGAGCCACTGTGCCTGGACTGGAAAAGATATTTCTAAGCTCACTCATGTGGTTGTTGACATGCTCCAGTGTCTCACTAGCTATTGGCTGCAGACCTGTTCCTTGCCATGTGGACCTCTCCATGATGTGTCTTCATGCCACAGCAGTCAATTCCCCCAGAGTGAAGGGAGAGGGAGAAAGAGAGAGAGCAACCAAGAGGAAAGCTATAGTGTTTTTAATAACCTAATCTTACAAGTGCTATACCATCATTTCTGCCATATTCTGTTGATTACATAGACTAGTCTTAGTACAGTGTAAGAAGGTACTACAAAAGAATGTGAATACCTAGTGGTAGGGATGGTCAAAGGCCATCTTGGAAGTTGGATACCTTATACGTATCATCATAGACACCTGGTGGCTATTAACTATTAGGCATGACTATCTAAAAGATGCCCTAGTCATTCGTCACTCAACCGTCACAGCAGTCATCTTTCAGATTGTCGTGGTTAATAGCATGGTGATGCATACGTGCAAACATCAATTTCATGCAGTGCTATTGAACTTCTCAGAAAGGTAATATAAAGTCAGATGAGGATTTTCTTGAAGAATGAATACCTGCAGGCTATAAATGCAAATATGGTGACCACCTTTTCCACCTTCTCTCTCCTTGCTGTTCTGGTTAACGATAGTCTGCAGACTTGCTGGAAATGAAATCTGGTGCTCCTGTGAGAGAGGCTATGGGTGGCCTCGGGAAAGGTGTCTTCGCAATCTCACTTGTCAAGAGCATGATGTCTTCCTCCCAGGGCACCAGTGCAGTTGCCTTAAAGAACTCCCTCCCAAAGGACATTTTTGTGAGCTTCAGGAAGGTAAGTAACTGCTCATTAAATGCTCTTTGAGTGGCTATTGAACATCAGTGTATGGCCAGGCGCGGTGGCTCATGCCTGTAATCCCAGCACTTTGGGAGGCCGATGTGGGTGGATAACCTGAGGTCAGGAGTTCGAGAGAAGCCTGGCCAACATGGAGCAACCCTGTCGCCACTAAAACGCAAAAATTAGCCAGATTGTGGTGGTGCATGCCTGTAGTCCCAGCTACTCAGAAGGCTGAGGCAGGATAATTGCTTGAACTTGGGTAGCGGAGGTTGCAGCAAGCTGAGATCATGCCTAACACTGCAGCCTGGGAGACAGAGGGAGACTCCATCTAGACAAACGAACAAATAAAAACAGTATACAAATGTTTCTGCTTTGTGTATACTCAAACACTAACATGATATTTTAAAATATTGTCCTATGTTTTTCAACAGACGTTACCCTGAACATGAGAGTCAGATTAAATGTAGGCTTTCAAGAAGACCTCATGAATACTTCCTCTGCCCTCTATAGGTCCTACAAGACCGACTTGGAAACAGCGGTAGGTTTTGACCCCAAGAGCCTCTTAGCCAACAAACTTTGGTCTGAGCTGAGTCTATTGCATTCACAGTGAACAGTTGCTTGGATCTGTCAGAATTTACTGATGGGCATTTGTTATTCTTTTGCATCTGAGATGGCAAATTAATACTTGCTCAAATCAAATCATGTTTAGGGGACAGTGTGGCATCACCTTAACCTATAAGTAGAAGTTTTTCTCAGGGTGGAACTGGTTCAGGTAAGATTTGGTGGTGTCAATTCACTAAAACTTATTCTGAGCCCCAAGAACCTAGCCTACAAGCACCAGTTAATGCGTTTCTATTCTTCACATATCACATGAATGAAACCTCTAACAACTTTTGGGCAGACCAACCCGTGGCTGGGCACAGAGAGTTTCAAACCACTCTACACCAGCGGTCACTAGACATTCATACCTATGACAGATATAAATTTATTTGCATAAAAATAGAGACTATTTTACCAGTGTTAATTGTTTGCCAGCCACTGTCTTAAGTGCTTTACACTGAGTTGATTCATCTAAACCTAAACACTTTGCTGGAGTTAACCTATTTTGAACAGAGCTTCCCAACGATGTGGCACAGATTATTATAGGTGGGCTGAGAAAATGACTTCCATTAACTTTCCTGGCAGCCAAGCCCTGCCTTAGGCTGTCAGCAGCCTCCTGCTCATCGCAGTGTGTCACCCAAATATTGTTATTTCCCATGAGTGCCTTGATGAAGTGCTGCTTCAGAAGAGCTCTGGGATATTTGATTTACATTTCTGGCATATAATATTTCTGCACAGCAGGATAATCCTCCTCACACACATACTATACTAAATTATGTGCTTAGAAAGAAAGAGAGAGTTACATAGCAACCACCCAGGTATCTGGCACACCAATCAATGCTGCAGTATGGCAGCCATGAGGATGCCTCTCACAGACCTCCAACTACAGGTCATGTCATGGAGCAAGGGCTGCAACTGCTGCCTCTGAAATCCATGACCATCATTGCTGCTCCCCACCAATGAAGGGGCACAGCACGTCTGTGTCTGGCAGATACTGGGACTCCTTGGAAGTCTTTAGTGAACCTTTCAGGCTCAGGCTCAGGCTAGGTTGCTTTTATCCAACCTCCCTTCCCTCTCTCTTTCATTTGGGGGTCTGGTGGCTCTCTCTGTCTTCCTTGCTCCCTCCACATTTTCTTTCCTAGGCATTTCCCTGAGTAAATTTTTTTGCACGTTTCATCTAGTTTGCTAGAAGGGGTCTACTTCTTGGAGGACCCAGGCTGACATAGATAGTTAGGAATTACTTCTTCAGAAATCTAATGCCCACAAAATTAACAAAATGGACGGAAGATAATTTTACCCAGTGTGATTAAGAATATGTGGTTTTTACTCTACTTCAAATATTTTGACCTACCTCTCTCTAGACTTTGATGTATGACACTCACCTTGCTTTATTTTTCAGTTCCGGAAGGGTTATGGAATTTTACCAGGCTTCAAGGGCGTGACTGTGACAGGGTTCAAGTAAGGCTATTGTAATTTGATCATTTCTACTTTATGGCTGGGATCCATGTGGTAGTGAAGGAGGAAAACCCCCTAGAGAGGCATTATTCACGTGGAATGCTCAGCAGGACCAGTTTGGTAGAGGTGAAAAGAGTGGTCACCCCTTACAGATGTACCTGTTTAAAAGGAAGAGAGAAGACTTGTGTTCATTCTACACACATGCAAATGTTTTTGCAAGCCAAGATAAGGGATAAAAGTTTGTAGTCCAGATAGTTCAGAGATATAAAAATAAAATAATGCCATGTAATGATGTCTTTCTACCAGAAGATCCCACTGGCCAGTCAGGACCATAGATTTGCATGCTGCAACAGGCAGTTCTTGCTATTTCGTTTTCCTAAGCAAGTGAGCCATAAATGTCTAAACTCTTCCAGGTCAGCTATTGTTTTACTGAACTGAGTGGTCTCTGTCCAGGTCTGGAAGTGTGATTGTGACATATGAACTCCAGACTACAGCACCATCACTTGACCTAATTCATAAAGCCAATGAGCGAGTGGTACAGAGCCTCAATCAGACCTACAGAATGGACGAAAACTCCTTTCAAGCATTTAATGGCAGTAAGTGAAAGTGTTTAGAGATGGTCATGGTATTTATGGTTATGCTTAAACCTAGGAAATCTAGCTTATATTACAATGTCCTCTGTGAAGCTAGACACTCCAGTACCTGGCACAGGAGGTTCTGTACCATCTCCTCTTATGTCAGTGCCTCCTAATCTGACTAATGCCACTGTATCTGGGGTGTGCAGAAGAGGGGCACAGGGATTTTACAAGGGGGTCACAGAGCCATCTTGGTTTGTGGATTTTCTAAATTAACAGATCCAAAACATCCAAAAAAGTAAAGTTAATATCATAGTAGAGATTTAAATATCCACAAAATGCAGCAATAGGAAATAGAGGGCCACTGTTTTAGAGCAGTAAGCCTCAGTGTAGCCCTCTGTCATCCAGGCTGGAGTGCAGTAGTGCCATCATGGCTCTCTGTAGCCTCTACCTTCCTTACCCAAGTGATCCTCCTACCTCAGCCTCTGGAGTAGCTGGGACCACAGGTGCATACTCCCATACTTGGCTAACATTTATTATTTATTATTTTTATGTTTTGTACAGATGGGATCTCACTATGTTGCCCAGGCTGGTCTCATACTCCTTGCCCCAAGCAATCCTCCCACCTTAGTCTCCCAAAGTGTTGGGATTACAAGCATGAGCCACCATGCCTGGCTGTGTTTTCACTTTTATCTGTGAAATGTCAGGGGAGTGATCTCATGGATTTTTACTGCCAAAACAAGAATAATAGTTACAGTTTCTCCAAGTTACCTCCCGATGTAGCTCTCTTTCACTGCTCCTATTTTCCAGACAAGGGTACTAAGGCTCAGCCAGGCTAAGCAATTTCCCCAGGGTCATACACTTACAGGTGGGACAGAACCAGGACTCAGATCCGAACTTATTGTCTGTAAAGCTCCGAAACTTCAAGAGGTCCAGTAGTATTAGGAAATTCTTATTTTTCAAGCAGACTTTATTATAGTTAATTAATTTGTTTTTAAATTTCTAAATCATTCAAGACTTAGGTCAGAACTTTTAATAAGCATGAGATATCAGTTATTGATAAGAAGTAGTTGATATTATTCCAGTCAGTAGCAGAGAAACTTGATGTTTAAGTTAGTTTGTGTGTTTTTTTCCTAAGCAAATGTGCAATTTTCTACCACACTTTTTGAAGTATTGAAAATAGCTTTAAAATCTCCATTACTGCCATTAAGGAGCCATAGGGCAAAGACCCCAATCTGGAAACCCTGCACCTCCTCAGGGCTCCAGATGCATGGGGATGGAGTTAGGAGACACATTGCCTCAGCCTGTTCAGCACCACAGATGCTGTCAAGACCTCCAAGAGCCTTGTGGTGGTTGTGCCTGGTGAGTAGGATCAATGACATTTATTTACTTTGGGATCTTAGTACCTTTTCCTTGGGTTTCCAGATGATATTAAGTTATCTGTCACACCAGAAATCATCTTTGAAGGGGACACAGTCAGTCTGGTGTGTGAAAATGACATTTTGTCCTCCAATGTGTCTTGGCGCTATAAAGAACAGGAGTTGGAAATTCAGAACAGCAGCAGATTCTCGATTTACACTGCCATATTCAACATGACCTCAGTATCCAAGCTCACCATCCACAACATCACTCTGGGTGATGCAGGTAGGTCTCCGTTCAATAACTGGTGTGAGGAATGAAATGAAGAGCTTGTAAAGATGCAAATATGTAATAGTGTTTTATGTAGATATGTAAATACTGTTTTTCTCTTTAACGAGAAGTCTCCTGGTTCAACCTTTCAAAACTGAAAATTAATCACATATGTATTAGTTCATTTTCACACTGCCATCAAGAACTACCTGAGGCTGGGTAATTTACTGAGAAAAAAGGTTTAATTGACTCACAGTTCTGCATGGCTAAGAAGGTCTCAGGAAACTTACAATCATGGCAGAGGAGAAGGGGAAGCAAGGCACGTCACATCTTACATGGCAGCAGGAGAGAGAGAGAAAGTCAGTGAGGAATTATGAATTGTCAAACATCTGATTTTAAACCATCAGATCTCATGAGAACTCAATCGCTATCCTAAGAACAGCATGGGGGAACTGCCCCCATGAGCCAATCACCTACCACCAGGGCCCTCCATGGACATGTGGGGATTACAATTTGACACGAGATTTGGGTGGAGACATACAGCCAAACCATATCACCATGGTATTAATTGTTAATTAATTTTAAAATTTAATTATTTTCATTATTTGCTCTATTATAGTACATATTTTCATTATTTTGTTTTGGAATATAATATTACTTTATTTTTAATTTTCAATTGATTTTTAAAAAAATTTTAAATAGCTTTGTTGAGGACAGAATTGATATATAATAAACTGCACATATTTAAAAAGTCTTGACACATGTACACCTGTGAAGTCATTACCACAATTAAGAAAGTGAACATATTCATCATTCTCCCTGCCCTCACCAAATTTTCTGGTTCTCCGCTACTATCCCTCCCTTCTGCTTTCCCTTGTCCTCTGGCCCACCCCAAGCAACTACAGAAGCATAAGGCTTAATTCTTCACTAAGACTAGTGGTGAATCGGTCACATTCTGGAATGCAATAACCCCTATTAGATGGGGCCATCTCCTTTTCTCTGCATGAGGAGGTGAGCTGTAGACATATGGGTCCTATCACATAGTTGTTGATTTTGATTTTATCACATGGTTAAATACTGTGGCAATATTATCCATCTTCTTCTAATTCTCCAAGTCTTTTCGATTTTTCTTTCCTACTTCTTCTGTTGTTATATTTCTTTCCTTATTAGCAAAGTCCCTGAGATATCTACCATTTCCTCAGAACATTTCTGTACCCTACTTTGTGGCATCAGAAATATCTGCACTTCCTGAATTCCTGAATGGTTTTTTAGGCATTTTTAGATCAAGTTTCAGATGCTTTTGAACATGATGCTTCATGAAGTACTGTCATGATCCATGACATGAGGGTACCATTCCTCTATGAAAATACACATATGTTGTAATAATATATATTTTGTGTATTGTATGCAGGTGAATATGTTTGCAAACTGATATTAGACATTTTTGAATATGAGTCCAAGAAGAAAATAGATGTTATGCCTATCCAAATTTTGGCAAGTGAAGAAATGAAGGTGATGTGCGACAACAATCCTGTATCTGTGTCCTGCTGCAGTGACAGTAACATTGATTGGATAAAAACAGAATGGAAGCAGGAAGGAAACATAAATATTTCAGGTGAGAATGTTAAATAAGCCCTTTTGCAAATAGGTTTTCGCCTCTTGGCCAAGTAAAAATGGGAGATATGGTGTGTGGAAGGGGAAATGTCAGATGGCTGCTATTTTCTGGACTTTGAACTGTGAAAAGGCATTAGGTTTAATGCCAGCTCCAGCTTAGCCACTCTAGAGCAAGACTCCAAAAATATATGCACACAAGTGTCATGCTGTGGTTGTAGATGAGATCTCAGCAGCGGAAGACACAAGGGAGAAGGATCCTGATGACTTAGGTCCATGGCATTTTGCATTAAAAAAAAAAAGACAAGAAAATTTGTGCTCACCTTCCTTTCCATCTTCAACAAAGAGTTAAGGATGAGGTCACTTGTCGTTGAAGTCTGACTTAGAGCTTCTAATTTCTGTGTTTCTTCTCCTGGTGTCTGGTCCTTCTCACTTCTCTGTCTTTGTATCTATGCATACCTCAATATTTTCTTTCTCTGTGTTTCCAGCTTTATCCCCCTCTCTCTCTATAGACCTGTTTGTCTCCCAGTCATTTCATACCAAGTCTGATCCCGTTAGCTTTTGTTTTCAATCAGAAATCTTACCTAAAGTTCCCTATCCTCCAGTTTATATTGATGAATAATAATAATAGTAATAAATTAAAACACTGTCTCTGTTTTAACAGTTTATAACCCTTTAAAAATATGTTACTGCTTTTTAATTGCTTGACCACAAATTAGAAGCATTTTATTTCTGATTTGCAAATAAGGAAATTGAGGTTTAGATTATATGGCTTATTCAAGGTTATCAAAATATGAAAAGAAAGAAAGAAAGAAGAAAGAAAAACAAAGAAGAAAGGAAGGAAGGAAGGAAGGAAGGAAAGAAGGAAGGAAGGAAGGAAGGAAGGAAGGAAGGAAGGAAGGAAGGAAGGAGAGAGGACTCAGCAAAGGTCTTGTCTCACAAAATCAGTATTTGTCTTGGCCAAACTATATGACACATGCCTGGTGGGCCAGCACTGGAATGAGCTAGTCAGGCAAAGTTAGGACAGTGTTCTACCTAGAAACTGCGTAGAGCAAGATCCAACTCTTCTCTTAAGAAACAACAGTATAATGTGCTGATCTGTAAAGAAAAAGTCTTTTTTTTTCCCATTTATTTATTTTATTGCATTTTAGGTTTGGGGGTACATGTGAAGAACATGCAAGATTGTTGCATAGGTGCACACGTGGCAGTGTGATTTGCTGCCTTCCTCCCCATCACCTACATCTGGCATCTCTTGTTGGGGGGAAATAGGGGAAGAAAAAGTCTTTAAAGTAAAATGTGGATTTACACATGAAAGACGTTAGTGGGGTGAACCTTCCTTTTACAAAGCCTTAGCTATGGAGCTATGTTACATTTTCTTTTTTTTTGAATTATCAGAAAAAGAGCAGTGGTTCACGCTTGTAATCCCAGCACTTTGGGAGGCCAAGTCAGGTGGATCACCTGAGGGTGGGAATTCGAGACCAGCCTGGCCAACACGGTGAAACCCCATCTCTACTAAAAATACAAAAAATTAGCAGGGTGTGGTGAGGTGCACCTGTAGTCCCAGTTACTCGGGAGGCTGAAGCAGAAGAATCACTTGAACCCGAGAGGCCAAGGTTGCAGTGAGCAGAGATTGCGCCACTGCACTCCAGCTTGGGTGACAGAGTGAGACTCTGTCTCAAACAAAACAAACAAATGAAACCCCATCAATATTCAGGCAAATTTTCCTAAGCACATGTATTTTGCAAAGCATGTTTCATCTGCAAGCATTTGTATTAGACTTCAAAGTACTCCGAAGAAGGTATGTGGTAACTGTTGAAAATATTGACACATGATACATGGAGTGACTTTCCTGATTTCTAAGGAAGACAAGGTGTAGATACCCTGAAGAAACTGCCGGATGAAAGGAAGACTTACACAATTCCTCTGGTACTAGCTTAGAAGATTTCAAACCCTAAAGGTGAAAAACTTGCCTTCTGGCAAAGGAACCAGGAAGTCTGTGGCACAGATGCTTAGAGCGGGACAAATGACTGCAGAACAATGGATTTCCTGCCTCAGGGCTGGCCACCTGGGGACCTGCTCCGTGGCTTCTCTGATGAATTTAGCCTCTGCCCTCGCATCCTGCCCTTCTTTCTCCTGCCCTTGCTGCTTCCTCCCTGCAGCTCTCTTTTCCAAATTCCACAAGCTCAACTAACAACCATTTTTTCCAGTTCTGTAGAATGCAAAAAAAGCAAAATAATTTACCCAAAGCATTTGGAAGTGAATAAATGACCTCCTCTCAGAAATGGTTGCATATTCAAAGCCCTTTGGGAAAGGATAAGACAGAAAGGAAATAATCAGCAATGGCAGAATTTCTAACTTTAAGAGACTAAAATTCAATGAAGATTTCCTCCCACATGGGAAAAAAGTGAAGACGTATTCTGTAATGGGATCACCATGATCACAAAATAGTTATTATGGCAGATTCAATATATTCAACTCCTTTTTTTTTTTTCTTTTGAGACAGAGTCTCACTTTTGTCACCCAGACTGGAGTGCAGTAGTGTGATCTTGGCTCATGGCAACCTCCACCTCCTGAGTTCAAGCGATTCTCCTACCTCAGCCTTCTGAGTAGCAAGGATTACAGAATGTGCCATCATGCTCACCTAATATTGTACTTTTAGTAGAGATGGGTTTTATCCATGTTGGTCAGGCTGGTCTCAAACTCCTGACCGCAGGTGATCCGCCCAGCTAATTTTTGTATTTTTAGTAGAGACAGTTTCAACCATGTTTGCCAGGCTGGTCTTGAACCCCTGACCTCCGCCCACCTTGGCCTTCCAAAGTGCTGGGATTACAGGCAAGAACCATTTCACCTGGCCTCAACTCTGTTTTCAATGTTTACATTTATCACCTTGGTTTTTCTCCATTCCCCACCCAAAGTCTTGCAAAGTAGGTACCATCACAACCATTTTATAGAGGAAGGTCTGGGATGTCATCTAACTTTGAAAAACAAAATTATAATTGCATACTTGCTCTTCTCCAGAAAGCAAGGTATCAGCTTATTACCTGCATTCAGTATCTTCTGTGAAGAGCCTCTGTTTGCACAGCCCCAGGGGTGTTGTAGGAAACACAATGTTAAGGATGCCAATTTGGAGGTCCTGCTTGTGGTTTCTGAGTTTGCCATCTCTTTGGAGCCTTTTCTCCACTCTTTCTCTGAATCTCAGCCTAACAGAAGTAGTTACTGTTCTCTGAACAAGACCTGCATTCCAATAACCATCACTAATGGTCTTTGCTGGGGCAGGCCCTAGTAGGGTACTTTTCTAAGAATTTATGCATATTATCTCATTTAACCTTATAGTGGTCCTGGGAAGTAACTGCTATTACTAATCCCCAATTTACATTGGGAGAACTGAAGCACAGAGTGGTTAAGTGACTGTCTCAACAAGTAAGTGGTGGAGTTTGGGATCCAAAGCCAGGCAACCTGGGTACAGAGTCTGCAGATCTAATTATCACACACCCCTCCTCTCCATTCAGAGAAGAAATCTGTTTAAATAGTAACTCCTTTTATTAAAAAATGATTTGGCCACTTCGTTACTAAATAAAAGAGACAGCTAGGATGGCAACCATATGCTTCTCATTACAGGATCTGCTGAGATACAGATAGATTCTAGCTGCAGCAAATACGTCTTCAGGGTTGACAGAACCCAATGCCCAAGCGGGTCATCTGGAACAACCGTTGTCTACACCTGCGAGTTCATCAGTGGCTACGGAGCCAGAGGCAGTGCAGACACAAAAGTGACATTCACCTCTGTGGGTAAGGACTCTCCCTAGAATTTTTAGCCATAAATAGGTTGCACCCTAAATAAATGCTGGCAATGAACTATGAGCAAAATAATGTGTGGTTAGGGCAAATCGCACAATGGGAGATAGAAATGGATTTCCCTCTCTGCCATTTAAATTCAGAGGGAGTCTTTTTAAAATTGGGAATGGTTGTGGTAGAGCACAGTGGTTGCCAGGAAGGAACCCAGGGCATTCTGTGAGTAAGGCAGGAGGTGGAGTGGGAAGTAGGGTTTCGTTCTCGGGTTAGCCCTATTATCATTGAATAATGTGTAATGAGGATAATGTCCCTAATTTTCCCCTTTTCCCCCATTACCTCATTCTCCCATTCTTGAATTTCAACAGCCTGGCTCACTCTCCTGTACCCCTCAACACTCTCCTTCACCCCTCCTCTCCCATTTCACCTATTCCAGAGACAGTGCCGCAGAAAGCCTTAATACTCTGATTCTTTGTGGTTATTTTATGGTTGGAATGAGTGATGTTTTAGTCTCTCAATTAATTGTTTAGTTAGACTTCTTAAAAGTGTCATTTCTCCTTATATCATAAAGCATTGTAATTTCACCCCATGTGCAAAAGGAGGACATTCAAACTTGTTTTTTCACCCATCTTACAAAAATGAGCAATTTACATTAATTATTAGTCCCTTTCTGAACAAGTTTAGAGAAAGGACTGATATAAGCAATACTTGTTAACTGTTGTTCACGTTTTCTGCTATTGTGACTTAGCAATTTTACAAAGATCAAGATTATGTTTATGTGGGCATAGTCTATCTAATATATATCTATAATATATAATACATAGCTATAATATATAATATATAGCTATATAATAATCATATGTCTAATCATTTATCTACAGGGTAAACAGTTTTGCATTCCCAGTTTTAACACCAAGAGTTGTGTTCTGTTCACATAATCAAAACTGTTCTCACTATAGAAAACTGCAAATTGTTCAAAGTAGCCATGAGCTCTTCTAGGGAAATAATGCTTTCAGATAAACCTAATCTTTCTCCAAATTACTTAACTTTACCCCTATCTGCAAAACTGGGACCTGTCTTAGGGACATGTTTAGCCTTTGCTGAAAATCATTGGTCAGGTAGTTTGGAATCTCATCAGAGAATTAAGAGGACCAAATTCATAGTTCCATGAGCCTTTTTCTTCTTACTCACAGAAATAGCTAAGCCTCAGAGAGCCATCTCAAGATGCCTACAGCTGGGGAGGGTAATACAGGGACATATTATACCTTGCTAAAGTGGCTTTGGGCTGTATCTGAACATTTGAATCCCAGCTTCTAAATGGTAACTATGAAAAGCTCTAATATCATTGGATTATGATTAAGAATAAGATTTTTAGGCCAGGCATGGTAGCTCATGCCTGTAATCCCAGCACTTTGGGAGGCCGAGGTGGGCAGATGGTTTGAGCCTAGGAGTTTGAGACCAGCCAGAGCAACATGGCAAAGCCCTGTCTCCACCAATAAAAATAAACATAAAGTTAGTCAGGTGTGGTGGTGTGTCCCTGAAGTCCCAGCTTCTTGGGAGGCTGAAGCAGGAGGATCAATTAAGCCCAGAAGGTTGAGGCTGCAGTGAGCCATGATTGTGCCAGCTGGGGTGACAGAAAGCAATCCTGTCTCAAGAAAGGCAAAAAAAAAAAAAAAGAGAAAAGAAAAGAAAAGAAAAAAAAGTATAAGATTTCACACTGACTGGGAAAGTAGACCAGCATCAGTGGGCTCACAAAATGAAGCTATTCACATATAGGAGACTGAAGTAATGGTGTTTTGAACTATCACCCATGTAAAAATATACTCAAAGAGAAGTAGAAACTTAGATGAAAATAGTGGGAGGCTCATATAAGCTTTTACATTTGTAATAGCCTTATTAATATTTTTGATTAATAGTTTTTCATGAACCTGTGAGAATCTTATTAGAGGAATAAATATATAGCGTAATTAATTACATATAAATACTTCTATTACTGTAGTTATAGAGTTATAATTATAATTAATGTGCCCATACATCCCAGTTTACCTGAAACAGTACAGGTATAATTATTAGGTTAGTGCAAAAGTAATTGTGTTTTTTGCCATTACTTTTGAATCACCCTATATTTGGGCAATACATGCTATGACTCTTGTACTTAAAATGTAGTTCCAGAATTCACTCTTTCACTTATTAAGCACTGACTGTGTACTAGACACAGTGCTGAGTGCTGCGGATGCAAAGACACAGAGGTCACATTTCTGCCCCTGAGGGCTCACATTTTTATGGAGGAGAGATATGAAAAGAGAGAAAATAATACACAGCGTGGCATTATTAAAAAGTATTTTAACAGAGTAAAGAATGAGATTGTTAGAGGAACCCAGCCATTTGTTCTCCCTTGAGGTGTTACAGAGGAGGTTGGAGGGGAGCTTGGGATAAGTTGACACTCCTAAGTTTGCAACCTTTTACCCTGCTGATCATCAGGAGATAATTCCAGCCAGAAAAGTGAAGTGCCCGAGGTCCTAAGGCATGAGATGGAAATGAGTACAGTGCAGAGCACCACCAGGAACAGCCTAGAAACGAGTAAAGCCTGGGAGCAGCAAGGTACCAATCCTACCTTGACGCGAATAGAGTCAGGATGCTTCGGGTTTTTGTTTTGTTTTGTTTTTCCTGCCCTCTCTGAAGTTTCACTCATGTGTCAATGTCCCCAGAGATACTACACATTGGACTTGTTGTCAGTTTCTTTTGTCTGTTTTGTTTGCCTTTTTTCAGCCAATCTAACAATAACCCCGGACCCAATTTCTGTTTCTGAGGGACAAAACTTTTCTATAAAATGCATCAGTGATGTGAGTAACTATGATGAGGTTTATTGGAACACTTCTGCTGGAATTAAGATACACCAAAGGTTTTATACCACGAGGAGGTATCCCGATGGAGCAGAATCAGTACTGACAGTCAAGACCTCTACCAGGGAGTGGAATGGTGAGTGAAGGGCTGGACACCATACTGTACTCCCTGGGTCCTTGAAAACATGCAATAATAGTTACCATCCATGTAGGGTCTGCTCTGAGACATGCCTATGCCAGCCACTTTAAATTCAATATGTCCTCACACTTAATGCAACAGTCCTTTGAGGGAAGGGGCCATTATTTCCATATTTACAGATGAAGTAACTATGCTTAAATAACTTAAGTTGTGGCTGGGCACGGTGGCTCATGCCTGTAATCCCAGCCCTTTGGGAAACTGAGGTGGGCGGATCACAAGGTCAAGAGATCGAGACCATCTTGGCCAACATGGTGAAACCCCGTCTCTACTAAAAATACAAAACTTAGCTGGGCGTGGTGGCGAGCACCTGTAGTACCAGCTACTTGGGAAGCTGAGGTAAGAGAATCGCTTGAACCCTCAAGTCGCAGGTTGCAGCCTGGTGCCTGGCGACAAAACAAAACTCTGTCTCAAAAAAAAAACAAAAAAAAAAACCCCAAAAACTTAAGTTGTAGAGCCAGGAATGGACTCGTGTCTCTAATTCCAGACCCTGTGCTCTTGCCATTAAGTTATGTGGATTGTTTTGAAAAGTACTTTCACTAGACACTTGGGAGTGTTTCATCCAACCACGCTTTAGAACAGCTAGGAAAAGATTTTATAAGCCTGGTTCCAAAAAAAGAAACACCTTTTAGTTTCCTGTTTACCTCTATCCATGGTTTGTACTGTGAGGAAATGCAAATCTCTGAAAGCAAAATGAACTTGGTAGACAGAACTGCTACAATAGTAGCTCATATTTATTGAGCCCTTAACTATGTGATAGGCACTATGCAAAGTATTTAAATGTATTAATTGATGTAAAACAATAAGCCTAGAGGATACTGTTATTATTAGCCCCATTTTACAGATGAGGAAACCGAGACTCAGTAAAGTAAATTACCCAAGGTTATATTTTTTCAAATGTAACAATGGCAGAGCCAGGGTTCAAACTTAGATTGACTGGCTCCAGCGGCCAACTCTTAGCCACTCCACTCTGAAGACTTTCATTAACTATGAGGTTAATAAGCCTAGATTCCATGAGTCCCATGTCGTCTTTATATTTTTAACTAGGGCCTAGGAAACATTGTAGAAATATCTAGTTATTATTTGGGCTGTACTTGGTAGTATATGTTTAGGAAGTGGAAGTTTTTTTCTTCCAGGCTGACCTCAATCCTGCTCTGTCCAATTACTCTTTCCTACTGCAGGTCAATAACCTAGAAAGAATTTTAGCTTTTCCAGTCACATTAATCTGTTAAACAGTCCCATAATCAGTTGTTGAAAAAACATATTATCATCTAAATTTACTACACTGTTGTTTTATATTCAATTTAAATTCCCTCTTCCCCCCAACAGGAATTAAAAGGAGTTTCCTTTCTCCCCTCGTTCTACTCATTTGCCTTCTGGCTAGCTGCTCCTTCTGACTTTTCCAGAGCTGGGGCAAAGGGAAGCAATGTAAAGATAATTGAAGGGTCTTACTTAACTGTAGGTGCCGCTGTAATCTTGCTGTATGTCTGCACGGCAGCTGCCCAAATGACTTGTCCTCTGGGGACATGATGAACAGGGCCTGTTCACTTAGAGTTAGGAGATGGGGCGTCATAACACCACAGTGTTCCATCAGGTTAACAATTATCTTCAAAAAACCTCCCCACCCCTGCACACGCCAAATTTCCCATTTATTCCTTGGGTTGGTAGAAAAGCCTTGGAGTAGAAATTGAAATTCTTGTTTAAAATCCAATTTTGCCACTAACAGGCTGTTTGACCTTGAATAAGCCACTTAATTTTTATTGAAAGTAAGTGCATATTTATGTGGTCATAGGTTAGTCCTTCTAATACATGGAGAACCCAGGAGAGGAGTCAATCAAGCATTTTTTCCTCTAGTGTCCAGGAAGGTGTGGTATTCCTTTACCAAAGCTTGAGAGGGAAAATTAAACCTCTCCTTAACCTTCCCAGAAAATGCCTTTGAAGGGCAGTTATTTCATTCCATCTCATTTTTGCTGTCTTCTACTCAGGAACCTATCACTGCATATTTAGATATGAGAATTCATACAGTATTGCAACCAAAGACGTCATTGTTCACCCGCTGCCTCTAGAGCTGAACATCATGGTTGATCCTTTGGAAGCTACTGTTTCATGCCGTGGTTCCCATCACATCAAATGCTGCATTGAGGAGGACGGAGACTACAAAGTTACTTTCCAAATAGGTTCCTTGTCCCTTCCTGCTGGTAAGATGCTCACTGCTGAATTGTTAGGGTGTATTATTTCACATATGTGGAGTCTAAAAATTTACTCTTAAAATAGGGATCAAGAGACATAGGACTGTATCAGAGATAGAATGAACAGAATAGAATCCCATGAGTCTATGTAACCTTCTATTTTGCTATGTGGCTGATGGTTCATTGGTTTGTGGCAAAATCTTGGGAGTTTGCAATGGTGGAGTGAGTCCCTTTTTTGTTTGTTTTTAATTGGGAGAAGTTGAAGAAACTATTGACATACCTTCTAAGGAATATGGCGGACTAGATATTCTGACAGTCCTTTCTTCCATGCTATAAAGTTGCGTGCCACAAAAGCACCACAAAAATCCTTTTAAATGCATAATTGAGCATGTAAGAAGGTATGAGAAATAACCAAGTGCCAAAAAAGTAGAGGAAAATAAAATAGAAATGATGCTTTAATACTGGAGCTTCCCTGTGGGCATTTGCCAATAGCAGAAACCCAGAACCTTGGGTTTTAAGGCTCCTTTGGGCATAAAAGTAAAAACTGTGCTCCCCAAACAGTACCTGGGGCACTCCCATCCCATTGACACAATGTTAAGACCTTCAAAAAGTGACATGTTCAGTAAAATACTAAGCTAAGAAAACAAACTTCATCTGCCAGAGTTGAGGCCTTGGCCTCATCTCTGGGTGGACAAAACGTTTCCCCCGAGAATTATAATTGTCCTCCATCACCCAGGTTTGGTCTTTGAATTTATATTTCCTGTGTGGTTCAGGAGCTCCAGTCTAAGTTTAAAGTTGTCCATTGGTAGCACGCTATGTCAACTAGCAAAAAAAAGAAAAAAAAAAAATCAAAGTCTCTCTGGTAGATGGTACCATAATCCAGATCCCTAGGGATTCCCAGAGATTAAAGTCAACCAACCTGAGCTCAAAATCCAAAATCTCAAAACACAGACACCTTCATGAGGGATTTACAAGCTCATTTGTTCTTTCAATAACTATTCTGGAGGACTTACTCAATGCGAAACACCATAGTAGGCAATGAAAGGGAGACAATATACTTACTGAATACCAGCATATACTTACTGGATACTTACTATGTGCTGAATTATATGACTTGTACTATGTTAGGAATTATGGGATATGAGAAGGATGTAAAGAAATGTAGAAAAGAAGTAGGGTACATATTTTAATATCTAGAAGGGTCCATGCCACAAAAGGCAATGCATATAACATAAAATATCCAAAAGGAAGAATACAGACTGAAAAAACAGTGGAAGTTCAGAAAAGTGGGGACTCAGTAAACACTGTAGTCTTTAAAGAAGACTGCGTGGTAGAGTGATATAATCAACCTGGATTTTGATGTATGCAACATTTCAATATTCTGTGTCTAACATGCATACATTCCGTGCTTTCTGTGTGCCAAATATTGAGCTGAGCATCAGGAGATGGAAAAATAAATGACAAGGTACTTTCTCTCCAGGACCTTATGGTCTAATAGAGAAGATAAACTTATAAAGAGGTGTCTATAAACCAATATGGTAATGGCAGAATAGGATAAATGCTCAGAGCATGACGAAATTTAGATAGGGAGAGCGATTTGTGGGATGCTGAAAAGGCGTCCTGAATGTCAAAAATGTGTGACTTAAAGTCATTAATGGTAGAGGAGAAGTTTTGGCTATCATACATGCAATTGTGGGCTTACATACTTCTAAGAGACAGAGGCAAAAACCTATTAAAAATGAATATGGCACATTCCTGGGGAAAGCTTAGACAATTTTATTCATATTAGGTCATCTTAACACGATTCGTGCGTTAGAGACTTATGTTGTGACTTAATTCTTTCAATAATTCTATCTTTAGCAAAAGAAGTTAAAGAAAAACAAGTGTGCTACAAACACAATTTCAATGCAAACTCAGTTTCCTGGTGTTCAAAAACTGTTGATGTGTTTTGTCACTTTACCAATGCTGTTAATAATTCAGTCTGGAGCCCATCTATGAAGCTGAATCTGGTACCTGGTAAGAGCGTTTTAAATTACTTTAAGATATTATAGTCAGGAGCAGGGACTTATTTATTCATTCACTCCCTCATTCATCCCCATTCAATAAACATGTGTTAAATATCCTCACTGTGGGAGGCCCTGGGCTCACCACGGGGTATTTAAAAGAACAGAAATAAGCCATGTCCCCTGGTCTCAAGCCTAGGGGAGAAATATATGTGATAAAGTTATTATATGTAATGCTTCAAGAGCTCAATAGAAATGTTGTGGGTGGCTTAGCTCTACTGAAAGCAGGTGGGGAAAATGTGATCAGGAAAGCCTTCCAGGTGAAACGGGACCTCAGCTGAGTCTGGGGGCTAAGGAGTTCACCAGGCAGACAGGAGTCGACAGTGTCTGGGCATGGCTGAGATCCTTTGAGGTTTCAGCAAAGGAAGGGTGTCCACAGTGCACTGTTTTTCTGAGACAGGGCTACATGAAAACAATTGATCTCAAGAGTAGACCACTGCCTTTCCCATCTGTTGCCATCACTGAGTCAATTTTCCATTGCGTAGTGTCTTTGAGGTGAAAGGTCATAATTATGGAATCATTGCTGTGCTAGCCCATGCTGGGGAGCTCCCCTAGGCAGCAGAGAGGGATAGATCATCCTAATAGAAGGTCATCTTAAGGGAGAATTTTATGTTAAGGCAAGAGATAAATGATGACCCTGGGCTTCTATCATAAGCAACACCTCATCCTCCTAAATCTTCTCAGCAATGGGACTTGTGACAGACAAAGGATCCATGGCTTTATTATCACTTTTGTTTCAGTTTACTGAATAACTTGTAGTCATTCTCACATGTTGGCAGCTAGCCCCTGGGCACCAAAACAGGAAATAATTTAGAGTCACTGTCTTCTGACCTTGCCATGCATAAGCACAACCCCTCCAGAGTGCAGCAAGGTCGCCTTTTCTTGTACCCCTCACTCATCTTAGCCAACGCATTTTATTCACATATCTTTGTTCTTCTCTGTCTTTATACCAAATACGGTTTCACCTCTTTTTCCCAGTAGAACATTACTTATTTAAGATTTGTATATAGTGGTTGAGATCTTAATGTTAAAAAAACTGTTGGTGATGGAGGGGTCTCATCAGAATCAGGGTCCGCTGGGCATGAGAGATTCCACAGCAAGTGCCATTTTCCTATCCTTGTCAGGTTATGAGAAAAAGGTGACATATAATCACCTTTAAGGGAAACCAGAAGGAACAAATGCTTAAAAATATTGATTAGAATATTCAGGTCATGGGTACCCAGAATTGCTACTACTGATTACGTCTTTGGATAATGGCAGTGATTCTCAATCTTGAAAGCACATTGGAATCACCAGGGAGGTTTAAAAACCTCCTGATGCCTAAATTCCAGCCCTGAAGATTCCCATACACTTATCCTGGACACTGGTGTTTTCAAAAGCTCCCCAGCTGATTTTATTATGACACAGTTGAGAGTCTCCAGATTAAGGTAAAAAACTGTTAGGAAAAGCAAGTTCAGATTACAGAAGTCAGGTTCATGTGGAAAATAGTGAGGGGCTTTGGAAAATCAGGGACAAAATTAAGACATTGGGTAGCTGCTAAAAAGTCACTGAAAGCAAAGAAAAAGAGGAATTCAAACATCACAATTCTACCTAGGCCTGACCGTATTTCTACTATTTGTCTCTTCCTTGCAATGATCTCTTTTATTTCAATGTTTCCAACACAGGGGAAAACATCACATGCCAAGATCCCGTATTAGGTGTTGGAGAGCCCGGGAAAGTCACCCAGAAGCTATGCCAGTTCTCGAACATTCCCAGAAGACCTGGCAGTCCTGTTGGCGGGATTATCACTTACAAATGTGTAGGCTCCCAGTGGGAGGAGAAGAGAAACGATTGCATCTCTGCCCCAATAAATAGTCTGCTCCAGCTGGCTAAGGTGATCCTTAAAGCTTCCACTCTGACCTCTTGGTGGGGAGATCTGTCTGACTTACCATATTTCTCAGCACTTACGAAAATGGGTTTGGGGTTGCTTTGTGTTGCTCCAAAACTACTTTTATTTGTGTATTTCCAAAGGAGATGCAACCATAGAGCTTCATGAAATGCCTACACTCAGATATTAAGACAACTAAGTATGTGTTCTTCTCTCAGACCAGCAGGATACCTTAACCTTGACTTCTCAGTACCATGTGTTAAATACCTCTGGGGGCAGCAGTATTATCCTCTGTCTTATTGCTCTCCTTTGAGTAATTTTAATATCAAGAAAATAGCTGCAACCCTTTCAGAAAAAGTAGCAATACAGAAAATAAGATTCATCAATTTCTTTTTAAAAATAGCTGGGCTTGATGCTTTTATAGGTATGAGATTTTCCTTACTACTTGGAAGTAACTTGTACTTCTGAAGAAGCGACCATCTGCCTCTTTTACCTACAATAGAGGTTACCGCTGTGTAACAGGGGTAAAGTTCCTTTCCTTCTCTCAATATAAATAAGTGGTACCTCCACACTTGATTTGTCATAAGCTAGACTCCTAAAATTCCATGAGTTACATTAAAAAATTCTGGTGATGCAACTAGTGAGGTTATAGCCAATGATGACATCTTCAGACAACCAGGTCCAAATCCTCTCACCACTGGGAGAAGAATTGAAAAAAAAATTAGGGTAATACTATTTATGTTTTGTCTAATTAACTTCTATCTCTCCTCTTGTCTCACACCAAATTTATTAAAATATATATTATGTGTAAAGCATTATTATAGGTGCTGTCAAGGTAAATGGGCCAAATCAGATCTTGGTCTCTGATTTGATAAAGAATATAATCTAACTGGGTAGTTACATACACATTAATTTGGCTAAGATCAATTAAGAAGATCTTCTTGGGGAAAAAAAAAAAGCACCTGGGCTAGACCTTGATGGGAGGAGGCATGAGGGCTATAAATTATCCTAATGAAGAAAGATAGAAATTGTAATCTGAACTCGGTGTGGGACCAAGCCCCAATTCTAGATACCTACATACATTTTCAATGGAAAAGGATCATGTTGGTCTATCATGCTTCATTTGATTTATCCATTCAGCATATACTTACTGGATACTTACCATGTGCTGAGTTATATGACTCATACTATCTTAGGAGTTATGGGATATGAGAAGGATGTAAAGAAATGTAGCACATGCTCCATGTTGTTAAGGAGCTTATAATTTAATTAGAGCAATATTGAAATTAGAACACAAGATGACATTACTGGAGATGCCACAAATGAAAAGTATGTCATATAAAACCAATACTTATGCATTCAGAGGAAGGAACTTTCCTGGGTTGGAACATTCATCAAATTATTTTCCTAGAAGATAGAATATGAGCTATTCTATGCATATAAATAAGAGTTAGTTAGAAAGTAGAAGTGTAATCATTATAGGTAGAGTGACCATATAATCTATCATCCAATGGGGGACATATTTTGAGAATATCAGAGGGCACTTTTAATCATTGTACTAAGAGAAAAGGTAGAAACCAGACCTGTCCCTGGAAAATTGGAAGGGACAGTCACTTTAACGATTGGAAGAGTAAGTGATATGAGGAAAACCAAAGAGTGGCAGCTGTGTTTCCATGCTGACTATCCACGTGACCGTTGTACTGACCTTTAAGCTACTTCTCAGGCAATCACATCTAGCTTCTCTTTTTTTGTTCCAGTTAAATACCAGGTTGACATATGTTTGTTCCCCTTCTGTGTGCAATCTTATGTCATATTCTAAAGAGCATGCGTGGAGTGCTTAAGGGATACATTATCTTATGGGAAGTATTTATGGAAATGGAACAAAAAGGAAACTACAGATGTGAGAGATTTTGCCAGGAATGGATCAGCTGGATTTGATAGCTGAACTGACCTGTAAAAGTTTTTGTTTTGGCTTTTGTTTTACTAGGCTTTGGTCAAGAGCCCCTCTCAGGATGAGAAGCTCCCTACATACCTGAAGAATCTTTCTATTAGCATAGACAAAGTTGAACATGAAATCAGCTCTTCTCCTGGGAGTCTGGGAGCCGTTATTAACATCCTTGATCTGCTCTCAACAGTTCCAACCCAAGTAAATTCAGAAATGATGATGGTGAGTTTGCTTAACCTTTGCAGGAGTTTTGGGTCTTACCTTTTTACACCTCAGAATTTGTGTTCAAGAAACATTAATTCCTCCCAATTGCAGCTTCTCTGTCTTTTCCAGAGCAATGCTCAGGATATTACAGCCACACATTCTGCCAGCTACAGCTTTTAGGATATTAGGAAATGTTTCCCATATTCATTTTGAGACCTTAAGAATATGTCTTAGTGGCCAGGTGCGGTGGCTCACGCCTATAATCCCAGCACTTTGGGATGCCGAGGCGTGTGAATCACGAAGTCAAGAGATCGAGGCCATCCTGGTCAACATGGTGAAACTCTGTCCCTACTGAAAATACAACATTAGCTGGGCATGGTGGCGCACACCTGTAGTTCCAGCTACTCAGCTACTCAGGAGGCTGAGGCAGGAGAATTGCTTGAACCCAGGAGGTAGAGGTTGCGGTGAGCCAAGATCGCGCCATTGCACTCCAGCCTGGGTAACAAGAGCGAAACTCCATCTCAAAAAAAAAAAAAAAAAAAAAGAAGAATATTTCTTAGTGAATTTCTGCTTTATTTTCTTCACAAATTGGAATGAATTCTTACTTGCTTTCCAGGAAACTAGGAATTAAAGGTTTTCAGGATATACAAGATGAGATTCTCAAAGGTCTAGCACTAAACATGAACTTTAAAGTAATTGTGGGAGGATAGGTTCTGGAAGGACAGAGAATTCTTCCACCAGAGTTCAAATGAAGACACTTTAATGAGGGATACCTACAGAGGTAAAGACAGGGTTAACAAACAAACAAACAAACCAGGGGTGGTGAGGCACTCAGAGACCAGCAACATTTAGAAGACATTATCACCCCCTAGGAAAAAGAGAAAAGAAGGCAAACAGAGCCCAGTGAGAGCTGAAGTCTTGAAGGAGGGACCAGTCTGCAGAAGCGGTAGTCTTGGAAGGCCATAGGTGTAACCAGACATGTGCTGAGGAGAAAGGGGACTGAGTGGAGAGAGCAGTGGGCAGCAGGAAAAACGTATCTCAGTGTCCCTCTCCTCCCACCCTCACATCTCTTGCCAATGTCTCCTACTGGCCAAGCTCAACCTAAACCAACTGGAAACAAGCTTAGTAACAGAGTCCAAAGAGGTCATATAAGTGTCCTAGGGCTGGCAACATAAATCACCACAAACTGGGTAGCTTAATGACACATTTTTTCTCTTACAATTGTGGAGGCTAGGACTCTAAAATCAAGGTGTCTGCAGGGAAGCATTGCCTCCAAAGGCTCTAGAGGAAAGTCCTTCCTTGCCTCTTCCAGTTTCCGGTGCCCCAGACATTCTTTGACTTGTGGTTGCATCACTCTAATCTCAGCCTCTGTCTTCACACGACCTTCTTCTCTTCCCCACTTTTGTTCTCCCCTTCTGTCTCTGCAAGGATACTTGTCATCGGATCTGAGACCCACACCAATAATTCAGGATGGATCCTTAACTTCATTAGATCTACAAAAACCATTTTTCCAAATAGAGTCGCATTCACAGGATTCATGTATTATGTCATTTTGGGGGCCTTCATTTTAACCTGCTCTAGGGGTCACATTTCCAAAGGGTATAACAGGGCAATAAAGGGCAGATAAATTATTTGGACTGAATGAAAAATGACAATCCCATGACTATAGGAGAGAGAATCAAATTGTTCAGCAGAAAAGGAAGATGCCTTTTACCACACTTGTATAGCTCATTCAATGCTCAGGATTTGAAATGATTTTCTGACACTTCCTCACCATCGCTGGTGAATACCACCCACCAAAAAGCCTTTACAGGCTTGAGATTTTTTTTTTTTTTTTTTTTTTTGAGATGGAGTTTCCCTTTTGTTGCCCCTACTGGAGTGCAATGGCACCATCTTTGCTCACTGCAACCTCCACCTCCCGGGTTCAAGCGATTCTCCTGCCTCAGGCTCCCGAGTAGCTGGGATTACAGGTGGCTGCCTGTAATCCCCGCACTTTGGGAGCCCGAGGCAGCCAGATCACCTGAAGTCAGAAGTTCAAGACCAGCCTGGCCAACTTGGTGAAACCCTGTCTCTACTAAAAATACAGGCTTGAGATTTAAAATAAAATGAGATAAAATAAAATAGTAAATATCCCTGCCACCCTGCTGAATTGGCCTCTGCCAGCCTAATGAATTGGCCTTAGTGAGTGGTGTTTGTAGTGGGTGTGCCTCTCACTGTCACCATTGCTAAATGCTTACTGACATCCTTGCTGTCTTGGGGACCCATCCTCTGCTAAACTTGACCATAAGAAGGTCATAAATCCCCACTGCCTGTGATGTCTCATTTCTGTCTTCTCTTTTCCTCTTATCTTTATGCAGTCAATTTCTAGGAAAATGTTGTTTTTCTCTTTATTATGATAGAATTTGGTTGGTTTGACCCCAGACCATTTCACTTTCAGCATGTGCTCTCTACGGTTAATGTCATCCTCGGCAAGCCCATCTTGAACACCTGGAAGGTTTTACAACAGCAACGGACCAATCAGAGTTCACAGCTACTGCATTCAGTGGAAAGATTCTCGCAAGCATTACGGTCGGGAGATAGCCCTCCTTTGTCTTTCTCCCAAACTAATGTGCAGATGAGCAGCATGGTAATCAAGTCACCAGCAAACCTAAAAACCTATCAACAGAAATTTGTTTTCTCAGATTCTGACCTCTGGGGCAATGTGGTCATTGACAAGAGCCATCTAGAAAACTTGCAGCCGGATTCATCTGTTGTCACCATGGCTTTCCCAACTCTCCAAGCCATCCTTGCCAAGGATTTCCAGGAAAATAACTTTGCAGAGAGCTTAGTGATGACAACCACTGTCAGCCACAATATAACCATGCCATTCAGGATTTCAATGACTTTTAAGAACAGCAGCCCTTCGGGTGGGGAAACAAAATGTGTCTTCTGGAACTTCAGCCTTGCCAACAACACAGGAGGGTGGGACAGCAGTGGATGCTATGCTGAAGAAGGTGATGGGGACAATGTGACCTGCATCTGTAACCACCTAACTTCATTCTCCATCCTCATGTCCGCTGACACCCCAGACCCTAGCTCTCTCCTGGGAATACTACTGGATATTATTTCTTACGTTGGGGTGGGTTTTTCCATCTTGAGCTTGGCAGCCTGTCTAGTTGTGGAAGCTGTGGTGTGGAAATCAGTGACCAAGAACAGGACTTCCTATATGCGCCACACCTGCATAGTAAATATTGCTGCCTCCCTTCTGATTGCCAACACCTGGTTCATCGTGGTCGCTGCCATCCAGGACAATCGCTACATACTATTCAAGACAGCCTGTGTGGCTGCCACCTTCTTCATCCACTTCTTCTATCTCAGCGTCTTCTTCTGGATGCTGACGCTGGGCCTCATGCTATTTTATCGCCTGGTTTTCATTCTGCATGAAACAAGCAGGTCCACTCAGAAAGCCATTGCCTTCTGTCTTGGCTATGGCTGCCCGCTTGCCATCTCGGTCATCACGCTGGCAGCCACCCAGCCCCGGGAAGTCTACACGAGGAAGAATGTCTGTTGGCTCAACTGGGAGGACACCAAGGCCCTGCTGGCTTTCGCCATTCCAGCACTTATCATTGTGGTGGTGAACATAACCATCACTGTTGTGGTCATCACCAAGATCCTGAGGCCTTCTGTTGGAGACAAACCATGCAAGCAGGAGAAGAGCAGCCTGTTTCAGATCAGCAAGAGCATTGGGGTCCTCACGCCACTCTTGGGTCTCACTTGGGGTTTTGGTCTCACCACTGTGTTCCCAGGGACCAACCTTGCATTCCATATCATATTTGCCATCCTCAATGTCTTCCAGGTGAGTTTTACAGCGTGGGACTTTCAGGAAGATTTTATTCCTGTAGAACAAATTAATGATAGAAACACAAACAAGAGTAGGAATGGGGAAGGATTTCAGTCCAGAGGAAGCCTCAGCTCTAAAGAGCAGTAATAATGAGAATTCAGTGAGATGGAAAGGACACATTCTTCTGGTCCTATGGAGCCTCATGCTTTTTATCACCTACATTATAATTTAGTGGCATTTGCCAGCTTCTGCTTAATGTCCTGATTACACTAGTAAAAGGAAAATCTCCATTTGTGTAAGATTATCTTGATGCAGTCTACTATCTCTTAAATGAAAATCCTGTCTTTGAGAGGACAGGAATCACCCCTTTCTTGTTCATCAATATATCCCTAGTGCCAGATAGGGACCTTGATACAGAGTAGGTTCTCAATAATCATTTGAATGAAATAAATTCTATGTACCATGTAGCAGGTTCTCTGGAAACATCAAAAATCAAAGAATGAATGACCTGTGAATGCCGGACAATTTGCTTGATTATACTACAATGAAAAAACATCTTCTTTGCTTTCCTGCAGCACATAACTAATTACAGGGCAGGCCAGTTTGTTAGAAGAACTATAACAGAGGTATAGACAGCAAGCCTTTAAAGTGCAAGGAAGAGAGTGATTAATTCTGTTTCACCCAATGGAGAGGTGGTAAGGATAGAAAAACACCTGCCCAGGGATTGAGGCCACTGCAAGCTTGTGGAGAGGCAGAGGCTGGAGGTGCACTTAAGATATTGCTTTTAGGATGCTTGTGTGAAGAACATATGAACCCTGATTTCTGCTACTAAGTCTGTGCCTCCAAGCTATGAAGTACATATGTAATAACCTTCATAATATGCCTCATTTGGAAGGAACTAGTTATCCCACCCCATACCCCAAATTCTCATCACAACCATGTGAGGAATATTGAAGACACAAGAGGTATATTAACTGCATAACCAACAGGACTTCCAGTTCTCAACTGAAGGAAAATGGGAAAATAGAAAATATCCTTCTAACATTATAACAGAGTCCCTTGGTGTGGAGCATCTCCTTCCTTTGAACAGTATCGTGTACTGAACTCATTCCATAAACTCAGATGGGGAAAGAAACAGTACAAATTTAACACCAGCTTAACAATACTTTCTCTTTTGCTGGTCAATAGACTGTAATTAAAATGCACTTCTTTTTCATCTTTTTTTTCTCAGGGATTATTCATTTTACTCTTTGGATGCCTCTGGGATCTGAAGGTAAGAACAATGACAGTTTTATGTTTCTAGAAAAGCCTAAAGTGCTTGTGGCATGTTGAAGTTACGATAGCTTCTTTTAAATGATGCAGGTACAGGAAGCTTTGCTGAGTAGGTTTTCATTGTCGAGATGGTCTTCACAGCACTCAAAGGTAAACCCTTTCTCTGCAGAGACTTTTCATTTTATAACCTCCTGTATTCCACTAGCCTTCTGAAGTACAGAGTACTAAACGTTTTCTTTGAGATTTTGATCAGTTAGGTTAGATATATTGCACCCTCAAACCTCCCCCTCAACAGTTGTATTTGGCATAGATCATTCCATTGTTTTTGCTTCTCAAGTCTTTCTGCCTATTAAACAGAGCCATGGAGCTGTCATTGAGATGCTACTCCACATATTTAAATAGGGTTTAAAATCATATGTAATATAAACTTAAGGTTGAAATCAAACGTTCAATGGGAAGCAATCTTCTGGGGGATTCAAGGCATTAAAGAAAACAAGTTGAAGAATAATAATGGATAGAATTTTCTATAGTTCATTTTGAAACATAATAATCGCCCTTTGAGATATTTGACTGACTTTCACATATGAGAAAATACTAGAAGCCTAATGAACAATAAAACTTGCTCTGACAGTTATTTTTCTAATACAGATGACAAGATTCCAGTGTTTTAACGTGACCTCTGAGAGTGGCACGAGAGATGCCAGCAGTGACAGCCAGAGGGTGGAAAATTCGTCTTCCTAGAGATAGAAAGAACTTTCGTCCCAGAAATTTGCTTTTTGATTGTCCTTTATTTTCTCTCTTCTAGTCAACATCCCTGGGTTCATCCACACCTGTGTTTTCTATGAGTTCTCCAATATCAAGAAGATTTAACAATTTGTTTGGTAAAACAGGTGAGTAGTGACCTCTAGGTTCTCCGTGGTTGCCCAGAACACATTTGCTCAAGTGGGGAGTCTCAACACCCCGACTCTTTCACCCTGCTCATGGCATTTACCTGAAACGTCCTCTTTTGAGGTAGAGGTTAGAGGAACTTACATGTTCACAAATCACCAAAAAGTGGGTACAGAGGGCATCTGCCTTCGCTGGGCAACTCATGAAGAATAAGATTTGGAGAATCTAGACAATAATTTGGAGAGCCATCTGTCAAAATATCATCCATGAAAATAAGAACTGTAAATTGCTGGTCTCGTCAAACACGGAGTTCTTTTCAATTTACGTTAAGTAAGAGTAGATAGGTCATGTTACTGGGTTATGGGGCAGTAAAGAATACATTTAGTAAATCTTACTACAGGATCTCACTGTGTAAGTTTGTTTTCTTTTTTGTTCTTTTACATAAAGTGTGCTTGTGTTACACATCGAAGTGTACAAAACTTCATTATGTAAGGGATCACCCAAGTTAACTATTGGAAATATTTGCAGTTAAATTTCTACCTTGGAGATATGAAACGAATGTAATGAATAACTTTAGGCAATGGATCTCAGCTATTCTGGCAAATTGAAACCCCTGTCCCATGCCACCATCCCTCCCCCACAGGAAAATAAGCCCCAGGATTTCTTCTAGCTTTTTGAAGCTGAACAGATCTCACAAATGCAGAGTTGAGAAACGTGTCAATATTCCAGACGAAGGTTTTTCACGTACAAGCAAATTCTGAGAATACCTATAACTGTCAAAACTCCAGAGGACTTGGGGTTTTTTCTGCTTCAATTTGATGAATTACTCATGAAACTGATGGACCTTCACTTCTGATTATGAAAGTCCCACTTGGGCCTGTTTTGGGTCCTCATAAGCACTGTAACTTTGGTTTATGTTGTCAGCAGCCCCTAAGGTACCCCCAGGCCATGATGGAAACCTTGTTAGCGGTGGCAGTTCAGCAATCTGATGGTAGGGTGGGCACTTCAACCCTTTTCTTGCCCGACACACACTCTCCACCCAGTCCCCGTGCACAGTCCCCATCTCCCCACAGACACAAGCCTGTGCAGTTGCTCCGAGGCTGCCTTCCTTGCTGCGCTGATTCTCAGCACTTCTGTTGGAATTCCTGACTCCTGCTTCTTTTCTGGCCCTGCCTTTTCTCCCCCTATAATTTTCTCTCTTTTTTTTTTCTTTACTATCTTTACAAGCCTCCGCCTTCAGTAGTGCCTCCAGGTCCCTCCCAAGAGCTTCCCTAAGTCACCACAACCCAAGGGGTCCAGGGAGATTCCCTCATGCAGCTGTTCCCAGGCCATGCATGTGATGGCATGTGAAGGGCTTCCCACCTTGAGATCTTCCTCTCCTCTGTAGAAACCTGGCTGCTGGTGTGACGTGAGGTAGTGACCGCTTGTTGGCTGCCACGCATGCATGAGAACAATAGTTCTGTTAGTTCTCTGGCATTTCTGGGTCTTGGGAGGAGGGCAGGTATGAGTTGGTTTTCAGGCATGGCCAAGCTTACCTGGCGACTGGACCACTTCTTCCCTGGGTCCCTTAGGAGATGTTCACACCCCAAAGTTCATGATGGATTGTCTTCAAGGCTGAGTTGCTGCTCTGTTTTTCAGGAACGTATAATGTTTCCACACCAGAAACAACCAGCTCATCCGTGGAAAACTCATCCAGTGCTTATTCTTTGCTCAACTAAAAACAGGAAAATCCAACCTATGTGACCTCCAGGGGACAGTGGATATGCTTTTAAAAAGAGATTTTTTGCAAAGCAATGGGGAACATGTTCTCTGGGCAGGTTTCCGGGAGCAAATGCAGAAAAGACTTTTTTTTTAATAGAGGAGAGGTGTTTTTTGGTAAGACAGACTAAAAGTAATTGTTATGTTTATGTTTGTTCCCTCCCCCTCCCCCTTGTGTGATACCACATATGTATAGTATTTAAGTGAAACTCAAGACCCCCAAGGCCCAACTTCTCTGTTTATATTGTAATATAGAATTTTAAAGAGACATTTTCACTTTTTACATATTGGGCACAAAGATATGCTTTGATTAAAACAGTAAGTAAAAGGCTAGTACATAGGAAATAGTTCAGTGAATTGTAAGAAGGAAGGAAGGAAGGGAGGGAGAAAGGGACGGAGGGAGGGAGGAAAAGAAGAAGAAAGGAAAAAAGAAGAAAAAGAGAAAGATCAAAATAGGAACAAATAAAGGGAAACAACATTAAGGGCCACATTTTAAGATTTCCGTGTTAATGATCTAGTATAATCACCGAGATAGTACAACACTGATAATTATTTTTTAATGGCTCAAAAATGGAAATGGAAAGTAGTCATAGAGAAGGGATACTTTGGGAAATATCTTCCTGATGTCTTCTTAGCTAAGAGTAGGGAAAAAAAAGGCTGAAAAATAGGGAGGAAATTCTTTCATCAGAACGACTTCAAGAGGATAATAATATTTATAAGAAATAAATGGAAGGAAATATGATTCTCCTGATGCTAAACACATATTGTATGTTAAGATTTGAACTAAGTAGAATGTATCTGCAGAGGAAGTGTGATAAAGATACGTCATTAGATCCAAGTGCTGATTAAATTTTTATAGTCTATCAAAAAGCTATAAAACACATTTTAGTGTGTTCCACATTTTAAAAGCAAAAAATATATATTTTATACACCTTTCAATTGCCAAATTTGAGACATTTGCACTGAAAACAGACCTTAACTGTCATATATTTCATGGCTTTAAGCAGGTACTTCTCTGTGCATTATAGAATATATTTTAATAATCTTATAACATTGTACATTACTATTGCTGTTGTCACCATCATTGTTACAGTGGATAATGGCCCTTGGTGTGTTGTATAGCTCCCTATGTATTCTCTCTTTCTACCTTTAAGTTCCCAGGCCAATACACATTAAGAGTTTTGCGTGGTCTAAGTTGTGTTTATTCCAACCACTTGGAAAGCTTCTGGAAAGAATTTGTACATTTGGCTGTTCTGTGCTCCTAATGACACTTGACTTTGATGAACAAATGGTAGAGTTTCCCAAGGATTTGATCGTGAATTATCCGCATGTGTGATTTTTTTGGTGTGTATGTATTTCATTAAAAAATATAAATATTTATGAAAATTGCATCCTTATTAGAGTTAACCGTGTGCCAGCAATACAGCAACCCTACATTGCAAATAAAAGTCTGATCCCAAAAGGAGAATGAGACAGAACAGAGATGTGGAAATGTGGAACTACTCAGGATATGTGGGTGGTGTGGGCCCAACCATCAGGAAGACGGGGCAAAAGAGGCTGAGATTCAGCAGCCATTTTTTTTTTTTTTTTTTTTTTTTTTTTTGAGACGGAGTTTCACTCATGTTACCCAGGCTGGAGTGCAATGGCGCGATCTCGGCTCACCGCAACCTCCGCCTCCTGGGTTCAGGAAATTCTCCTGCCTCAGCCTCCTGAGTAGCTGGGATTACAGGCACGCACCACCATGCCCAGCTAATTTTTTGTATTTTTAGTAGAGACGGGGTTTCACCATGTTGACCAGGATGGTCTCGATCTCTTGACCTCGTGATCCACCCACCTCGGCCTCCCACAGTGCTGGGATTACAGGCTTGAGCCACCGTGCCCGGCTTCAGCAGCCATTTTTTAAATTGAGGTTCAAAGAAATTTTCTTTTAATGTTTTAACCCTTAAAATATCTTCCTTTAATTTTTATTTTTTTAAATTCTACTTAAATTCTACTTCCATCTCTCTTTTCTTCATGGGGAAGAAGAGGTATGGGGCAGAGGTGGGACAGACAGTTAATGTAAATGAACTCTTTATTTCTACATATCACAAACGACATAGACATCTACTGTCACATTTGCCTGAGAAGTGTCACATACCTGTCCCAAATGAATGGTGTGTTACTTAAAGTCCCTAAAAGAAATCATTGTTATGCTTTAAGTGCATGCCAAGGTCTTCAGGAATGATAAACTTTGGGCGGAGCTTGGTACTAAGAAGATGGAGTCAGAGGTTGAGTTGGGGGAAATCCTTTGAATTAGAATTAGAGAAAGAAGGCCTTTGACTGATTTGATTCCTGGAGTGACATCAAGAATTGAGCCAGGCTTGGAGCACAAGGTGAGCAGGGCTATCTTGACATGATCAGTCAAGGAAAGCACACAGTATTGGGAGCAGGATGTGGTTGTCATGTTCAAAAATTCAGTGAGACAAGAAATGCTGAGCTTCCACCCACTGCAGCCGGGATCCCTTGGGGAATCATCATGTTCAACCTGTGAAGGGAACTTCCATCGTAGCAGGAGCCTGTGGGGAGTTGTACAGGATGTGGATCTGGCCTTCTGCTCACATTCATTAACTGGGGCATGTTCCCTTATCCCCAACACACACATGCACACATACATGCGTGCAGGTGCCTTCACCGTTTCAAGCCACACCACTGCTCCAAATTCCAGAAAAGCTATGAAAGCAAATAACTGGAGAAACATTTGCTGGTTTTCTGCCCACTGTAATACACATTAGCCCAGCCACTACCGTTTCCCAAGGAACTCCTAAAATGAACAGTAGAATTCAAAATTGTAGAAGAGCAGTGCATGAAGCTGAGAATTTTATGAATGTAGGAGCCTCACTCAGCCCTGAGGTTGCCATCTCTCAATCAGCAATTATTGCAAGGCTATTGGCAGCAGACTGAGAATGAAGGCACATTGAGTTGTGCTATCTACTTTGTTTGTAAGGCGCCCAGTTCTTCCCTGTGTTCCTGACCTCTCTCAGTGTATTAAGTCCATCCCCTGGGCCTAAACTCTCTTGCATTAGGAGCTTTCCATTAAGTCAGTTTCTTGCAAACAGCTCTGTGCTAATGCATCAAAGGCCGTGAGGTTAGAACACTCACGAATGAGCAGTTAATACAGATGACAGGAATATTCTCTAGGAATATCCTAAGTCCAGACTAACATATCTCTTGATCCTCCTCCCCCATTTCTTATTCTTTCCGTAGGGAAACGGTTAAATAAATGTCCATGGGGTTTTCAGGTTGTAGGTTGGTAAGGCCAGAAATTAAGAAAGAATGTGGGAAGTCACAGCCTTTTGTGGTTTGTATAGAGAACTTCAAAGAGGTCCATGTTGGAATGCTTCAGAAAAAAAAAGTTACATGGAGATGAGAACAATTACAGCAATTGGTAAATACTGAAAGGAGGTATGGGTGAGTAATTGAGATGAATGGAGCAGAAACTCATAGTCATTTGAAGACAAAAGGAAATAGAAATGCCAGGTAGGTGGAATGCATTTATTTTATGCCACGTGATGATGAAGTTAAATAAGGTCTCTGCATCCCAAAACCAGTGACCCAGGCCAACAAGAGTCTGATTCTCCAAGTGTCTAAAATGAATGTGGAATTTACAGGGAACATACCTTTTGAATGTGTTTTTAAAAGGGCAATGGAAATAGCGTCTCATCATTTCAAGAGGACAGTAGTTTAGCTTTGATATTAGGTAGTATTGGTTTCTAACATTATGACTTGGGATTTAAAATCACGTCATGCATGCCAGCACACAGCTATGCTTCCTTTCCATACTATAACAATGAAATATCTAATAAGATCTCCTCAGCTGTCTTTGCAGTAATTGTCTGCCTTCTTACAATTTGCTGCTGCCACTGCTCAGGCTTCTCCGTGTCACCCAGAATGCAGCTCCATTCACCAAACAGCCAATGATCCTGTCCATCTTCCAGACATGGGGGAGGCTGGCAACTCACAGGTGAACTCAACTGGCTGGCAGGGCTGACGACTTCCCTCACAGCATCTGCACTCCCAAGCTCTGTGCAATGATCCAGCACGTTATAGAAAGTTTAAACAAGGGTCCTTGAAGTAGTGTTTAGAACCAAGTTGTCTGGTAAACAGATGCCTGTTCCATCATTTGTGTGTAGATTGCTTGGAACGTTCATTGACGGCTGAAAACAGAGACCTCATGTCCTATAGATGAATATACAGGGTGTGAGGGCTCTGTTTATCCTACAGCACATTCTAGACGGAAACCAAGTTTCCCATTCTTAGTGAATATGGAGTGGACAGAGGAAGAAAAGAGAGGCAATGGGCCAACTCTTGAAGCCTGCTCTGTGCCAGACACCAGTTCTTATCTTCAAATGCCATCTGTGTTAGGGGTGGGCGTGGGGGCCTTGGTCGTGGTGCCCTACAATTCAGACACAGCATTCCTGCCTATTCGTAAATGATTTTATACACACCAATTCTTCCGTTTCTACCTGTAAACTTTGCAGTGAAGTTGAAAGGCTACCGGTGTCCATGACAGGTCCGTCTGCACACATGGGGCATGGTTAGGAGACACATAGCCTGTTCCTACCCCAGGGACTTAGTCTCTCATGCAGAGCCAAGTGAAGGATGCCAATGACTATTAAAGTCTAAACGGAACAAACCCAGGAGACTGATAAAACAAACAAACAACAATAAAAACGTGGCTTTATTCTCAGCATGAAAGACAAGAGGACCCGATTGGGCAAGTGGTGGGCAGATTGGTGTCACGGCTCACTTCCGATGACTTTAAACAACGAAACCCAGGAATGACTTTGGGCCCTGCCTTTTTCGGATTTTGATTGGTGCCATCCTGGGTTTTCCAACCTGCCAGCCAGCCTGCACCCCAGCAGTTGTGGGAAGAGGAATTTGACTTTGATTAACCGAGAAAAACTGTGCACACATTCTCTGTTTTTTTTCTGGAATTGTGAGTGTTTTCCCATGCCCCAGGGGCTCCCTCACAGGTGTCCTATCCCAAGCAGTCCCGACAGGAATCTCCAGCTGGGCTGGAGTGACAGCTGGCCTCAGGCACCGCAGCTCCTCAACCATCGCGGGCGTTTCCCGAGGCTCGCGCGCCCCCTGGTGGGCATGAGAGGAGGCGTCCCTCGTTCGTCCGACATCAGGAAGCGCGTGGGAGGCCGCGTTTGTCTCGCGGGGGGCGCGCCCAGTGGGCTACATCCAGGAAGTTAATTTGCGTCATATGGACAGAGCGAAGGTCAAGGCATAGCAGAAAACGGAAACCAAAAATGAAAAAAATGTCTTTCAGTCCCTTCTCCTAACACCTTGATATTATTATCCTTGCTGGGGAAAGGGTAGTCAGAAAGCCACGTGGGTCTGTGGCGGGAGGGAACATCCCAGTCACATAGTTTCGGTGTGTGAAAGGCAGAGGAAATTTCGGGCCCCCGATTCACTAGCAAAGAGGAAAAAAGTATGGAAGCTGAGTCATGCAAGAAACGGCCTTTCCTTCTGTCGCTAAGCAAATAGCTAACAGATGAAAGGCTAGATATCTCCACAGCTAGCCACACTAGGTTCACCTTCTTTTATGTAAGGTGCCGATTTACTGAGATGAATACATCACTGACTATTCCCCTACCTGCTCCTTTTCTCTTGCAATGCATGGAATCAGCAATGTGACCACATCCTCCCTCTTTACCCCCAGCCCACTCTTTCCATTTAAATGTTGAAGCCCTCAAAGTCATCTTTGCCGAAGGACACAGACCACAGATTGTCTCTGTGATTCTGTGTTCCTTTCTTCCAGGCATGTTCTTAATCTTGGCAAAATAAACTTCTAAGTTGAGCGGGACCTGTCTCAGAGACTGTTTGCTTTACAAGTGTGCATAGCACATCTGCAGGCAGACATACATTTCTAAGGCATACTTGCTGGGATAGCTCCTTCCTCCCTGTGTCCCAGCTCACCGACCGAATCTCATTTATGGCACTGACAGCAAAGCTGAAAACCCCACAAGTGATCTGGCTCACCCATTCCAGATAGGCTGCTGGAAGGTCGTTTTAGGAGGAAAAATGGGTGCCTTCCATGTTTCACAGGAAACTACTACTTTCTTCATCAAGGCAAAGGATTAAATTTTGCCTTGCAGTCCTGCAAAAGGATTAACTTAGGTGGTTCTATTCCGTTTCCTAGTTCATCCATTGAAAGCTACTGCAGGCCTGGATTTTCATTTTCAATCCATGAAGAATCTGCAGATGAATCTGCAGCTATCTCAGGGCTGTATGACTGTCCAGCCAGCGGCTCAGGCTGGATGGCAAGTTCCTAGCCTAGCCTCTGAGCACACATTGCCAATGTATGATCCAAGAAGACCCAGAAGAAGTAAACAGGGCCAACTGCTGGCCGGGCTGGTCATTGGAATAGAGTGACAAGCTGCACTGGCCTTTACTAATGAGGCAGACAGCTTTCCAGTT